GCCGGACTGAAAGGAAAATTGAATTACCACTTTTCAATGGAGCTGACGCTGGTGGTTGGTTGATGAGAATGAACCGCTATTTCAGGTTAAATAGAACTGAGGAGGAGGAGAAAATTGATGTGGCAGTTCTAGCTATGGAGGATCAAGCTCTCAGTTGGTTTCAATGGTGGGAGAGACAAGCTGCACATCAGAACTGGGAGTCTTTCACTAGGGCGTTGACTAGAAGATTTCAGCCTGATATGGTAAACGATCCTCTTGGGCCTCTTTTCAGTCTGAAACAGAAAGCTACAATTCAAGAGTACCGAGATCGATTCGAAAAGGCTATCGCTTCACAAGGCCATTTAACAGAAGAAGTCTTAAAAGCAGCCTTTCTTAAGGGATTGAGAAGAGATATAAAAGCAGAATTGAAGTTACATCATACTAGAACATTGGCAGAAGTTATGGATACTGCCTCTGCGATTGAGAACAAAATTTTGGAAACTTTGTTTGTAAAAGATAAAGAGGAGGAAAGAAAGAAGGTGCAGACTGCAAATCAGAAATGGGAAGATGGTTGTAGAGGGAGTTCTAGCTACACAACCAAGAATCCATCTGGCAACTATTTAGTTGATAACATGAAGAAGCAGGAATCTTCAAATTCAGTTCAGCGGAATACAAAACCCCAATTATCACAAGAAGAATTGCTTGAAAGAAGTAAAAAGGGGCTATGTTTCAAATGCGGAGAGAATTGGGGAAGGGGACATGTGTGCAAGATGAAGAATTATACAATAACTTTAGTGGAACGATCGGAGGGTGAAGCTGAGTCTGAATTTGAAGCACTGGAATCAGGCAGGGATAAGATCACACCTCTAGAATTGAAGACCATGCAATTCTCTGTAAGTGATGAGAAAGAAATAACCCCTGTGAAAACATTTAAGGTGAGAGGTAAACTGAAATGGCATGAAGGTGAAAGCACAGTAAATGTACTCATTGATGGAGGTGCTACACACAATTTTCTGTCACTAAACTTGGCGGAAAAGTGAAGGATTCCTTATACTCATTTCACAGGGAATAGGGTGCAGTTAGGGAATGGCGAATGTATTCCAATCTGTGGCAGGTGTGCAGGTGTGGATCTGAATGTGCAAGGAATTGGTATTCACCAAACTTATTACTTATTGGAGCTGGGGAGCATGGATTTAGTCTTGGGAATGGACTGGTTAACAAGTTTGGGAGACATGGAGATTAACTTCCAAAGTCAGACCTTCAAATGGAAAGTACAAGGGCAGGAGGTGATTCTACAAAGAGATGACTCATCAAGAGAGCAGGACGTTGAAGGAAGAAGTGTTCAAAGGCACGAAGTAGCTGTCCCCAATGTTACAGCAAGCTGCAATTGGGTCTTCCAAAAACCTGCAGAAATCACAGTTCTGGATCAAATTGTCTGGCCTATGTGGAACTATGCTGTGAAATACTTAGAGGGAAAGATGGAAGTAGTAAAGCTAAAGGCCCAGCAGACCAATCAGTACTGGAGAGGAAGGGGTGCTAGGATGAAAGAAGAGAATAAGTTAGTGGCTGTGTCATATCATCCACCTTGAGGGCAAGGTGGATGTTTAAGGGGCGGAGTATTGTTAGGGTCCGGGCCTAATATATAATAAGAATAATGGACTGGGCCTATTAGCATATTAATAAGAATAAAAGTGTATTAGTTTAGTATAAATAGCAGAAGGCAGGGAAGGGTTAGGTAGGCTGTTTAGACATTTTTCAGACTGGGACTTGGGAGATCGAGAGTTACTCTCTTTCTTGGGGGCTTCGGCTCATATTGGGGGCTTTCGCCATTGATTTCTTACTCTCTTTCTGTAATCGATTCTTCCTCATCAATAAAAACTCTTAGTTGTTCTTGATAGATTCTGTGATTTTACTGTTTACCTGGACAGTTTCCTATCAATCCATTCATGCTAGTAATTGCATGGTCGAGTGTTTTGTACCACTTATAGCATTGGCAGACAACTCTCCAAGTCTGGTAAGCCATCCTCCTCCTCATCTTTGGTCTCGATCAAGAAAAGCTTCTTGCACCGGTGATTCATTGACCCCAGTTCATCACAATTATAACAGAGCCCTCTTGCTCGACATTCTGCCATTTCACCCTTCGTGAGCCGGTTAATAATCGGGTTTCCTGCCTTAGTTGTCATGGGCGCTTGTCCCTGTTGTTGCAGGCTTCGTTGTTTCACACTTGTTGCAACTCCAGCCTTTGACAAGTGCAATTGTCAATGATTGCTTTGCTTCTAATGTCCGTGCAAGGTTCATTGCATACCCCAGGTGATGAAGACTTGACTATGAGCATAAGGCCTAATAATAATAATAATAAAGTGGGAGTGAGAGAATAGGCAGGCAGACCTTGGGAAGTCTTTTGGAGGGTAGGGCACTCTCGAATATGTCCTGATTGTATCTCTTTCATCTATTTTCGGCCATTAATACAATCTGGAACTTGCTTATTATAGAAATTACTTATTTCCCTTACATAAATTGTTCTGTCTATCTGTGATACCTATCACCAGGAACTCTCGAATATGTCCTGATTGTATCTCTTTCATCTATTTTCGGCCATTAATACAATCTGGAACTTGCTTATTATAGAAATTACTTATTTCCCTTACATAAATTGTTCTGTCTATCTGCGATACCTATCACCAGGTCTCCTGGTTTTGCCATCTCCACATCCGCCCTCAAGTGAGGTTGTAAACCCGCGACATATAAGGAAATCGGATGAGTGGGTTGTATTCCTGAAGTTCTTGCTAAGGCCTTCAGGAATTGGGCACAATATTCATCAACTACCCCTGTTTGCATCAAAAGCTTTAGAGCACCTTCCGGGTTAGAACTCAGAGGGGGGCCAAAACGCTGCAGGCAAAGGTCTTTAAACCTATCCCAGTTGACTTCACCTTCTTTCTCGGTCATTTGGTCGAACCAAAGTTGTGCATCATCTATCAAGTGGAACGCAACAATATTCACCCTGGCAGCAGTAAGGGTTTCTTGATTTAAAAAGATTTTTTCGCACCATTTCAACCAGCTGATAGGGTCAGAGTTGCCATCGAATTTGAATACTGGGAATTGCATCTTCGCATATTGTGGTCTCCAAGGGTCCGTGGTTCAGTAGGATTGCTGGTCTTCCGCTCGGCTGTTATCCACTTCATCTCATGTGTTTCTACTATCTTTGAATCTCGTTTGTGGACTGCCACAGAGAGAGCCGCTATCTGCCCTTCTAACGGAGTTGTCCTAGCAGTCATAGCCTCCATAAATTCCTTCATCATGGTGGTTAAATCCTCATTCTGTGGAGCCATGGATCGTGACGGCTCTGGTACCAAATTGTTAGGGTTCTGGGATTGAGAACGGGTCCAGCGATGACTTGGGGTGGCAGGGTACCCGGTTGAGGTCGTAACCTGCCGGTTAGGGCTACTCTTCTTCTTGCCCGTGGCTGGAAGAGCGCGTGGGGGGGAGGTTGTGACTTCTCTCGGAATAATTTCTAATAATCAATGATTTTATTATTGCTGAATAAAGAATATAAATAGGCATCATGCCTTTACATGACAGAGTTCTAGTCTAACTAAAACTGTAACCTGTAGTACTTCTATTACTAATAGGAAATAATAAATAAATAAATAAATTAATTAATTAAATGTGAAAACGGCATCATGATAGATTCCTCTTCCAATTAAACTTCTTGTGGGTCCATATAATTCCTTAAGAAATTTATATACAAAAACAAAAATAGTGATTACATTTAATTTTCTGTTGCATTTCGCAATGTAAAACACACATGACAAAAATATTTCATTTAATTGTATTCCGCTTCTGCAGCACTTATCAGGATCCAAACACACCCTTAAGATAATTTCAAGCTAAAAAGCACAGAAACTTCAAATTCTCGTTTCCCAACTGTTTTGGTAACTAGGAACAATTATGAAACTCTCCTTACTAGTCAATTAGTGTTTCAAAAAAATTGGGTTATGATATTTATCTATTTTTAATTTTTTATAAGCTTTTTAATAGAAATTTGTGTCTGTTTATGGGTGCGTTATTTTACAAGACATCATCCTTGTCATATTTTATAACACAATGTGTTACAAGAAATGTAATTCGTTTTACATTTACATATGTACTAAAATGTTATAAATTTTATATTTTGATCATGTAACTTATACCTAACTATTTATCATTAATTGTTTAGCTATGTTCATCATCATCATCATTAACCCAGTGCCGCAAAGGCCCCACCTACGGTGAGGTAAGGGGGGTCGGATGTACACAGCCTTACCCCTGTACTAAAGTACAGAGAGGATGTTTCCGGATGACCCATAATGAAAATCGCGTAAGAAAATTGCGTAGACTGACTGTTGCTTCATAACAAAGAAGCGCAGACAGTTTAGTGAGCCATTTTGCTTTATTTCATCATATTCTCAAGCCAAAAAATAGTGAGTTTTTGGCTCCATTGCAAATGATGGATACAATTGTTTAGCAATGTCATATGAAAAAAATAAATATACATATGTATCAAAAATATATTCACAAATACATGCTTATAATTTTTTTTAAAAATGCTAGTGCATCATTTGGTATCATACAAGCAAGACAAAATATGGAAAACTGTTATGCTAAAAAAGGTTTGATTTATTCATATTTTTGCCTATTACATAACATCCAATGAAAAAGATGTACAAGGTCTTATAACAGAAAACATTGCATGAAATAACAGTATAACAGAAGAAAAGTTAACTTCAATTAAGAAAACATATGGCTTTAATAGATATTATATGTATGTCTTTTAACATAATCTAGACAGAAACACTACAATGGCAATTGATATATATATATATATATATATATATATATACATATATATGTTTCTATATTAGATGAAATGTCAGTAATTAAATTAAAAGAAAGCTTCAAAAAAAGAAAGATATCTAGATGAACAAGCCAAACGCATAGTCATATATGGATCACAAATCAGAGAGAGAGAGAGAGAGAGATACAGTTGGACATATGGATCTTGATGAGCTTGCAATCTTCAAGAGTTAGACCTCTCTCCCTATCAAGCTGATGAACAACATTCAGATCTTCAGAATCCAGAAGCTGCTTGCTGGAATTTAAAAAGATTGGAAAATTTTACAAAATAAAATTATTAAGAAAAATATAATAGAAATGAAATGTTACATATGAAAGGAGATAAGAGCAAATCGCACCAGTGAGAAGAGGTCCAGAAATTGGCGGCCATGATTGGGTGATGGTGTTTCAGAAGAAGAAACCAATCGGTGAGCACTTGCGGTAAAGGCAATTGGCCAATCTCACTCAATTGGAGAGCATGAAAAGGAGAAGATCACTTAAGAAGAGAAGGGTATCTAGTACTGAAGTTCGGGGGAGCCGGTTATGAACTAAAAACAATGCGTAAAAAATTTAATGAGTAAACAGTTCAAAACTTCAAACATAATGAAAAATCCATTAGAATAAAAAAAATACTTTTAAGCAGTACATACAAGAAGCTATTAGATGAGGTGATGAAGATGATGAACCAAGATGCATAAGAAAAGCACATTTTTTACCCTCATGAACTCGTTTCCAATTATTAAATTCAAAACTAAAACACAAGAAGAATGCACATCACTAAAAAGAAAAGACGACAAACAATGTGCCATGTGTGTTGTTGGAGAGTATTCCAACCAATTGAATTCATGAATCATGTGGATGGAAAACGACTTATCTTATCTTTATATCTCAGCATTTGTAAAAGATGAGTTTATGTTGATAAGGTCCAAGCATCAAATAATATCGCCTTAATTCATCTCTTTACATTGTCTGTTGTATGTACTTTTAGTTGGCTTAAAAAAGAGAATGCAATGTTCTTTTTGCCATACCTTTGTCAAAAATAGTGAAATAATATGTAATCAACACATTACTTTCAATCACATAATTCATATTAATAATATGTTAAGAAATTTAGTGAATAGTCCCCAACATGGATTCTAGTGGATTTTAATGGAATTTAGAATTCCATCAAAATCTGGGTATCCTCAATCTGGATTTCTACGGAGTCTTTAAAAATCCAAGTATCCTCAAACATTCTATGGATTTCATTGACTATCTACTTTCATGGATTTTAAAAGATTTTGATGGATTTTTATGCCAAATAATAGAACAACTAAATCCTACACAATCTCACCACTAACCCTCGGATTTCCAAATCCATCGATATTTCCACATGACCACATCCATCCAAATCTTCCGTATGCAACTCCACCTGTGAAAGTGCGAAACCACTAGCATCGCCACACGTCACAGTGTGTTTGGAGTTAAGGGTGGCATCCTCTACCCCCCCCCCTCTCAAATTTGGAGTGGTGACTATGTAAGCCGTGTGAGGGGAATGGAAGGAATGAGAACATCCATCCATTAACGTCTCTTCTTAAATCCTCCCTAACCTTCTTATATGCTCCCTGAACAAACAACATAGGAGACAAGTGTTCTACTACTCCATTCCCTAAATCCAAACAGACAGTTAACTTTTCACATACATGTTTTTGTATTGTACAGCGCCTCCTGTTCACGCCTCCTGTTCAACTAATTCGAAAGAACATGCCGTGTCAAGGAAGATTTCATTCAAATCAAATTACTCCGTATTATCAAGGCATACATAAGTGTATTTAGTTCTCAATCATATCATGCAAAAGCGGGATCTTTCTAATCTAATCACACAAAAGGATTGTGTGGTTGATGTGGCATGGCCTGTGTTGGGTACGCTGCTGCTGGTTGGAAAGGATATAGATAATGTGTTGAAATCCATTGAAATTTGTAGAATTCTATGATATAGAATTCCATAAGATTCTATTACAATCAATGGAATCTCTGAAATTCTTTTAAAATCCATGAGATTTACAATCTTTAGAAATCCTTTAAAATCTATGTTGGGGACACCTACTTACAATCCCTAATTTTCAATTTCATAGATGAAACCACACAATTAATTCACCTATTTAAAAAATGAAAATTCATACAACAAAATCGCGTTTTATAAAATCATATTAATAAAACAAAACAATATTAAATGAGAGTGATGAATACATTAGAAACTAAAAATGCTATTTTACGTAAATTAAAATAAAAAAGTTACAGGACTTACATATGGGTTACGGCTGGCAGACGTGAGAAGTGAAGCACCCGAGCAGGCAAGTGGCCGGAGTGGGCGTATGGACAAAGTAGGGAGTACAAGGGCAGACGCTGGCGGCGGGCAGCACGGCACGACGCTTTCAGCCAGGCAGGCGGAGGGGGAAAGGTGGAAAGCGGGCGACTGGGCGGCTGAGCGACACGGTTAGCAGCCTGCCAGGACTTTTTCCTTCTACTCTATGCGTCTGGGCCTTTGGGCTGGGCCTGATATTTTTTGACTACCCAACCGTACACTGGTCCAATTTATATTTTTTGACTACCTAAGCCCGTGTCGGATTTTTTTAAAGGAAACTATCTGATTATATTAAAGTCCAACCATCAATGACAATGCAAACTTATTCATACGAAGCAGCCTCCTACTACCAAACTCGTCATAACTCGAATGTTCCCTTGTCCTCTGATTAGAGATAGAAACGATCACCCTAACTCGAATGAGAGCGGATCGTGTCTCTGACCATCTGAGCGATTTGAAGATCATCTCGACTTTTGAAGCCATCTTACTTCTTCGACAACAATATCTACCAACCTCAAAAGCATAACCCAACCAAACCACAAAGGATCAAAAAATAAAAATAAACATGGAAAAAACAATAGTCAAATGCAAACTAAAATTCAACTAGTGGAGCAGTAAAATACGTACCATAGACGTCTTCTTCCATAACCTAGTCCTGAAGTGCCTCTGAGGTGGCGGTTCCGGAGGGGGACAAATCATCCACATGCCGTTTTCTCCCTCCACCACCTGAGTCAGCCAAATCACTCGTACCAATCCCCCAGCCACCCAATTGGAACCCAAGTTCACCCCTTATGCCAGACTCCACACCATCAGTGTTCCACCCAGATAAAACTCAAATGGTGTAGCTTTCATCTCAAACACCATCAAATCCAGAAGGGAAAATTGTCAAATAAGTTCTCATACTATTGACAAAAAGTCAATTGAGTCTTCATACTTTTTCGTGAATCAATTAAGTCCTTGAAGTGGTAAAAAATAATCAAATCAATCTCTTAGTCGGTTGAGAGCCGATCACCTGGTAGGCATTCATACGTGGCAATCTGCGTGGATGTTTTTTCCTTTGTTTTTTCCTTTTTCTTTTTCATTTTAGTCTGTGCTTTCCTCTTTCTTAGTTTCTTCTCCGAGACCACCTGCTTTCTCAGTTCTTCATCTGCGCATCTCATTCCTTGTTTCTTTTTTACCTTTTTTTTTCTTTATTTGCTTTATTTCTTTCCGGCAAAGAGCACAACCTTTGTAACCCACAGCTCCTTCAACTGCCGCCATCGTCCGTCTACCGGCCACAATTTTCCCAACCTTCGCCGCGCGCCGCCAATTGCCCAAAGCTTCCCTAACCGCGATTGTACGCCGCTCGTTGCCCAACCATCTCAAATCTGCCACCCATATGCCACATCCACTGCTTACCGGTCTTGTCGTCGCCGCCCGTCACCCACTACTTCTCCAACCTCCATCTCCCGCCTCCCGTCGTTCACAATTAACACATATATTCCCAAAACGCCGGCCGCCCCCGTCGGCGACACTTCTGACTTCTCCAACTGCCGTTGCCCGGCGCCCATCTAAAGAAAGAGAATCGAGAAGAGAAGAAGAAAGAAAAAAATGAAAATGAGAGAATCTGCTCTGGAGGGACGCAGAAGATCATGGAGAGAAGAAATCAAGAAGAAAGGGAGAAAGAAATAAAAAGAAAAAGAAAAGAGAAATGTGAAAAGAAAATGGAAAAACTAAAATTTATTACCATATGGCCATCCATGTCAGCATTAACCGGCATTCCATATGGTCAACTGGCTAAATGGTGAAATTGGTTAATTTTTAATACTTCACGCATTTAATTGACTCACGAAAAACTACAAGGACCCAATTGACTTTTTGACAATAGTACGGGGACCTATTTGACAGTTTTCTCAATCCAGAATTGCCAAACCCAACATCGGATTATCAAGCCTCACAACCTTAACCGCCAGTGGCGTATCCACTATGGGGGCAGCGGGGGCAGCTGCCCCCACTCAACCCCAACCCAACCCCTATATATATGTCCAAACTTTTACAAGAAATTGCTCAAATTAAGAGTTAAATGTAGAAAAAAAATCTAAAATAGGATTAGAAGTGTTTTCTTTAATACTAAAAGAATGAAATGCTAAAAAATTCACTAAATTTTGTTATGTTTAAGACTGTTTAACTTATATTTAGGTAAATTTATTACATTTTAGCTGCAATTACATCTTTACACACCCGTAATATAAATTAATCTTCTTTTTATTCATACTTGTGCATAGATATTATAAACTAAATTTAATCAAACAATATTAATAATGTGATTTGTTATTTGTGAAATATGAGACTAAATTGTAGTCAAGTTTGCCCCCACTTGCTAAATTTTCTGGATACGCCACTGTTAACCGCCACTGGTCCAGAGTCACCTCTGAGTCCACTGACAACTCCTATCGCACCGGCTCCTCACCTACGGATCCACCGCGTCTTCCTCTGGTACACCCCTCGCAGACCTCCGCCTTTGCCAAACAGAGACGTCCGCAACACAAAACTGGCTATTTCTTCCTCAACCCTCTAGCCTCTCCGCGCCGCTGGTCAGACCCTCAGCCGAAACTTGTGCCCTCCCTTGGATGAGACAATCTGAAGCAACATACCAACTTATTCTTCAGCCCAATCGTCAAGCCACTTCCCTGGAAGTATACGTCCCTCCAATCCCCATCGGTCACGCCGCGCACCACCAGCCCTTCTACAGAAAATTGTTCAAAGTAGGGCTGCACATCGGGCGGGTTGGGTCGGGTTTGCTATATTTTTTGGGCCTACCCGATTTGTTCGGGTTGGCTATTAACCAACCCGCGGTACGCAAAATAAGTTGGTAAACCATGCATGAACGGGTCGGGTAGGGTCGGGTATTGGGGGGGAAAATCACTTCGGGTTGCATCTTTCATGTGGGAAATTAATGTAACCGATTTAAAACTCGATTAACTGGTTTCCAAAACACAAACATACAAGTACTCGTATCTTTTATAAGCAAAAACATTAGGTAATAGTATTAAAACATCCTTCTGTAAAGGAAGTTCATTTAGAAGGAAACATAAATATATAATAATCATCTAGTCAAAATGATAAATGTTTAATTATAATTCTAATATCATAAAGTCCTAGATAGAGCACATTGGTATTAAATTGAAATTATCCAAAAAAAATTGTAGCACAATAATAGTAAAATGAACTTCGGACGGGTCGGGTACTATCGGGTTTGAGATTTTAATTCCGCAACCCTACCCATTAGGTGCGGGTTCAAACATATTTAACCCATGAATATTTTTAAAAATCAAATACCCGATTAAATAGGGTCGGGTAGGGTTGGGTCGGGCGGGTTATGCGGGTTCGAGTTATTCTTGTGCAGCCCTAGTTCAAAGCTATCGCCTAAACCCTAGGCTCCATCCACTCACTCTCTTTTTTTGTTAGCCCTTGTTAGATTAAAAAGGGAACTTATATGAATCCAATTTACAATTACCCAAAAAGGCTTACAATAATTAACTTTCAGAAATTCAATATTTCAAAATATAAATTTCAAATTGTCAAAAATCACATCTACATACAACATTTCCGACCCTACTTTAATCCCAATCACCACTAATGTTGCATATGTTTTCACAATCACCTTTGTCAATTAATCATTGGGCGGAAGTCAATTGATCACTCGAGAGAAATCACAATAGAATTGGTCATTGTAGCGGGTTAGTTGGTTTATTAAAAGTGAAATGGTTTATTTACCCCTTTAAATCACATTTTTGAAAATTAAAAAGAAATGTCACATATTTGTGCACTATATTTTTTAATAGTATTCGTGACAAAGCCCCTATGATACATGTACGTGAAACAGTGAAGGTGTGGGCCGTGTGGCCGTGTATAGGGATGTGCATCGGTTCAAAACCGGACCGGAACCGGATTTGCAAGAAAATAGAAACCGAAAACCAGACCGGATATATTCCGGTTTTGAACCGGAACCGAACCGGTTTAACCAGTTCAAAACCGAAACCGGACCGGAAAACCAATTTCTCAATTATTAATTTAATTTACTAGCAAATAAAACTTATTTGTTTAATAAAAATAAGGGTATTTGTGAATAGTAATATTACTATTACTATTACTACCTTCGTCCCATATTTATCTTCATAGTTTGGTTTACGATGCTTGACTGGCGATAAAGCAACTCGATCCCTGTTCACACTCGGATTATTTTTAGTAAATAAAATTTACATATTCAGAAACTACATTAAAACCGCTACAAAGCCTGATCAAGAAAATTTAAGTTTGATAAAAATTTGATATATAAAGTAAAAGATTAAGAGTAATTTGAGTTGACCATGTGAATAGTAACTATGAAGATAATTTTGGGATGGAGGGAGTATTATTATTTATTTAATTACATTTATTAGTCTTAGAGAGTAAAGATTGAAGCAATTTGAGTGTAGAATACTAGAATAGTAGATATTAGTTAATACTATTATCAAGAAAAATAAGAATAAATAGATGATTAAAACATTATGACAATATACACTACATATTAAAACAATTAATATTTAATTTTTTATTGCTATTATTATTTTGTTATTCTATAACTATTTTATATTAATGCTATCAATTAATATATTAAAAATATACCAAAACCGGTTTAATCCGGTTCAAACCGGAACAATCCGGTTTTTAACCGGAACCAGACCGGAAACCGGATTTATAAAATTTGAAAACCGAAAACCGGACCGGCTATCATCCGGTTCGGTTCCGGTTTTTTCGGTCTGGTCCGACCCGGTTTTCCGGTTTGTACCGATTTATGAACACCCCTGGCTGTGTAGGAGTAAAATAATGAATAAACTTTCAGAAGTCCTTAAAAAACTCGGTTGTAAATAATTTCATGATACAGTATAATTATGCAGCAATTATAATTCATTCAGTGCCATACGAAGGTAAGAGGCTTACTAAATACTCAAAGCATGACAAATACAAATATACAATGTGCCGAGTTAAACTAATGATAATCACAAGATCCAAAGTAACGACTTCATCTCTGCACCACCACCACCACCAACCCCCCCCAGGGAATCTATCCATCATTGACCAAGGGATTCATGGAAATTGAATACCTTATTTACTTTTTTTTATCGACCCTTGAATTGTAAGAAGTACGCAATATCAACCTCAGATCC